AGACGCGAGGTCTTGGCGAGCCAATTTCCCTGTAGTCCCGAACTACGTTGACTCTGACTTTCTCTCTTGAGAATACGTAGGCATAGAGTGCGACGCTCTATCGAGTCAATTCCCTTCCGTTTAGATTTAGCAGCCGTAGATAGATTGTTTTGCATCCTTTAGACAACCCAAACAAGCGTGGATCCCGTCGAGTACGACGGACGTGAGGGGTGCTAATACCTTCCCCTTGCGTAACCGACTCCCGAACCCTGGTTTTGGTTGCGATGACCATACCTTTTCCCGTCTTTGCGGTAGGTTTACTCTGAGCGTTTCCTTTCCCTCCCGTGGGATAAATAACGCACGGTGGCGACTCTTCTGTCAGCCGGCGCCGATTTTCGCAGTAGCGACACTTCCATTGCACTCGGACTGAACCTCGGTGACCGCCTCCAGCATCTCCATGCCATTCCCTCGGTATTCCTCGACACCGACCACTGTAGAGCTTCTCACCTCATCCGTTCCAAGGCCGACGACAAGTACCACCCGGTCGTGCGTGGCAAAACCGTCAGAAGTATCATCCTGCCATCACGCACCCGGATGCACCCACAGGATCGTGCCAACTGGCTATTTGACCTCAATGCCCCTGCTGCTACCACTGCCCCAACTCAAACCAACACCCAAGGTTCTGGTGACGAAATGCAAGATGAGTTGGACAGAACTGAGCAACCGGAGGCATCGCAACCACTTCCTTCTGAAGGCACATCCTACCGCCGCCACCGCCATCGTCCAGAGCCCGACTACTCTGAAGAAGACCTCCGCCGATCCCTCGACCAGCAGGCCCAGATACTCGCTATGATGCAGCAGCAGAATCAGCGAGCAGAGCAGTTCGAAGCTTGGCATCGGACCCAAATGCAACAACTCCAAACCGGCCAGGACACCATCACTGAGAACTTGGCGAATCTTACCTTACAGTTCGAAGGACTCCGAGATTATGTCTATCATACCGGAGCACTAAACTTTGAGGCCCGAGTCGACCAAGTCAGAGCCAGAGGACGTGACAGAGGACGTGACCGAGGCAGAGGCCGTGATTAGTTATTTCTTTCCTTATTTGTTTACTATATTTCTAGTTTCTTGTATTTTCATTTACCTTGTATTTCCCTCTCGCATTCTTTCAAATCAGTGGGGACACTGATTGAGATAATGTGAGAGCGGAGCGTTTATTTCCCATTCCCTTGTACTTTTAATTCCGTAATTTCAATTCGAACATTTTTCACGTTTTAGCAAATAAAAGCTCTTTTATATATCTTCTTCCGTTACACAAACATCCCCACTTCATTCGACACAGACAAAGTTTTTTTTTTCGTTCGTTCCTCAAAAGCAAAAGCATCGCGAGAATGCGCCCAAGTTCAAACCAAGTTTTGAAACTCCGAGACGAAAATTCTAACAAAACCAGTACCGTCCTGACACCTTAGACCTCCGGTTTATGCGAGTCGGTTTCACTACCTACATGTACCAAAGTTTCAAGTTTCTACGCAAACTCAGCCCCAAGTAGTTTATACTAGCAGTCAACACCATCCTAAAACACTTCTAAGCGAGCGACCAATGTAAATAAGTGTATGATCTCCAAAAAGATGAAAAATCATGAAAAGAAAGCCATATAGCCCAAGTATAGAGACATGTTCCCTCTAAGTTAGGTGCTCCTCACCCGAGCATTTAGCCCAACGGTACAAAAACACATTGAAAAATCAATGGTATAAGCTTATGAGCAATGAAAAAGATCAAAACAGAAATGAGATCATATTCACTAACAGGTTGACTTGCCATGAAAGTGTATGGACAACGGGCTTAATGTGATTGCGCTAGAACAAACAGGGTGAACTTGACGCGAGAACCTTGATACCAAGCTACAGTAGCATGACTGGGACCGATTTGCATAAGAAGGAGACCTCCGAAGACTTGTAGTCCAGTGTCGTCACCGTACTCGTTTTGTTCCTACTAAGAATCCCGGTTTTTCCCAACTTTCTGAATGAGGAAGCTGCCTCGTGCTTTCCGACTTTTTCCTGTTTTACTTGAGGACAAACAAAGATTCAAGCTTAGGGGAGTTTGATAACACGAAATCGTATATATATATATATATATATATATATATATATATATATATATATATATATATATATATATATATATATATATATATATATATATATATATATATATATATATATATATATATATATATATATATATATATATATATATATATATATATATATATATATATATATATTGATGCATAATTCAACTAATGTTTGACTGTTTTCAATCCGATTTCGGGTTCTTTCCATGTTATTTGTCTGATATTTTGCAGGTATTTGATGATCATGTCTAAACAAAGCAATATGAAGAAAAGAAGCAATTACAGATGAAATATGGACGAAAACCAGATGAAAACAACATGAAAAACGCAGAATGCACATTTTGCTGCTGTGACGACCGTCACACCTCCATGATGACCGTCACACGGGTGACGACCGTCACACACCATGACGACCGTCATGCAGGCAAAAACGCACAACTTCAATTGAACGTGCAAAATACAGTTCCAAGTCCCAAATAATGGACCACTACTCCCTGATATTTCTGCCTCCAAGTCCACCTTCTTCAAATTACAACCGTTAGAATTCTACTTCTATAAAAGGGGAAGGAGGGGAGCTGAGAAAGAGAGTCGCATTCAGACAACGAAGTGCTGCCCAAATTTATTTCCAGAGCAAAAATTTAGTTTTATTCTTTCTGTTTTTGTTTCCTTTCCTTATTCCTGTATTCCATTTCTACAATATTCGTTTGTGCGCTCTATTGGTTTGAAGACATAATCCTGCCGACATCGTTGGGATTTGGCCAAAAGCCAATTGGATACGTTACAGGTTTTTCATTATTTCATTAATTGTAACTTTAATTCTCAGTAATATGAATGTTCTAAGTTTCTATTTTTATTTATGTTTTACCTTTCCCAAATCCATGTCTAGCTAAATCAGAGTAATCGATATGTAATAATAATTCAGACGAGATTTGATAATAACCGGTTGAAAACTTTCTTTTTCAAAAGTTGTTTATGGTCTGAGTGTTTAAACTTATTTACTGAATAAACGTTCGTCGCGAAAGCGAGAACTTATTTAAAAGTAGTTTTGCCACGACAGTGGGGAATTAATTAAGGTACGAACCAACAAGCGACAGCTGCGGTAAGACCAGATAGTAAACACTAGGCATTTGTTTTAATAACAGCAAAAGCACTTTAAAATGGATTAGAACTTAGAGATTTCCAAAAAGTAGTTTTAACCCCGAATGGGACAGCGAAAGCGTATATTCGGTCCTTATAATTATGACTAGCGTCAACAACCATCGTGATACGAAAGTCTTCAGATCACTATTTTCTGCTTAAATAAATTCTGAAAATTATTTCATATACCAGCAACTTGTCAAATCCCCGAAGAACACAATTATTGCATATCGATTCGCGTAATTATAATTCAAGTAACGTTTTTAGTTCCCTTTAGTGATAGAAATTATTCCCTTAAACATTATCTACCTAGCTAAACATAGTAACTCCCGAGAACACTAGTTTGATTACGAGTCCCTGTGGGATTGATATCTTTTATTACTACATGATAGACTGTGCACTTGCAGTTAAGTTGTATTAGACATAGAAAGTCGCGATCAATAGTGAGAAACATGTTGAAAGGGAAGAACTTGCCGAAAGAGTTATGGGGAGAAACAATGTCCACAATTGCATATTTGTTGAATAGGTGTCCAACAAAGAAGTTTGAGAAGATAACACCAGAGGAAGCATGATCTAGATTTAAATCGAAACTGAGTCACTTGAGAGTTTTCAGTTAGATAGCGTATCAACATGTGTCGAGACAACTTAGAAAGAAACAAGATGATCAAAAAAGTCACGATTGAAGTGTTCAAAAGATTGAAGAAGTTAATGAGAATGAAAGACTTAGAGACTTAAGTTAAGGTGATGTGTTAAGAATAAAAGATAATTCAAGTCAGTGCAACAACTTGTAGTTTTATGTCAATAAGTTGCACTCCTTTATAAAATGTCAAACATAAGTAAAGTGCGGTTGCACTTGAGAACTTTAATTTAACTGTTAGTTAATTATATTTCATCTCTTGTATTGTTGTATAAATATTCTTAGAGTATCTTTTGAAAAAATTAATAAAAAATTCACTATATTTTTCACATTCAATTACTCAATTATTTTTTAATTCCAAATTCTATAAGAAATAACCACTTTCTATTTATTGATGAATATTGATACCACATTACAATCTTGAAATACTACTATATATAATTTTGTTTACAAAATTACAAAGTTAATAAAGTGTGAGATCGACATTAAAGAACTTATTCAAAGTATATGCTATTTATAGCTGAAATACTACTATTGAATAGTAAGGTTAAAAAATAAAAATGAACCTGAACCAACCCCATGGATTCACCAAACGATTGAGTTACTATCTACAAGTGATCAATTGCGACTAATTCATGTTGAATACTCATAGTTAGCATGAAGAAATAGTTTTAGACAGGTTGTGATTTTTTAAACACCCCTCTGTATAATCCTCTGTTTATTTTTATTTGTACTTTTTGAATCTCAGTAGCCAGCAAAGCAAAGAGAGTAACTCAAAAACTGCACTAGAAATTTTCCAAGCAGTGATACAATTTATGATTGACTTAGAAGTATTGAAATGTCATTCTACAAATGAACCAAAAGATCAACACAACACATTTCAATTGTTGGGATCTTACCATAGACTATAAAATTCACCTTAAACTTAATGAGATTAAAATGATACATCATATCTTAAACATCTGAGATTTTAATTTGTACACAGAAAACTATAAACTGTTTACTAAATCTCAGTACTTTATTTTTTAATCAATGGCTTCAACTCCTCAATTTGTGACCTTATATGAATTGAATCTTCTCAACCTTGGAACAAATGAAGTTGTGATACTATCACTATTTCTTGACACTTTTGTATGTATATCTCTTCGCAATCCATAGATATACGATGAAGTTGATCATACTAAGAATGGTTAAAAGCCAGTAGAAATAATCGAGATGACCCCTATTCATATTATCTGGTATCCAACCGAGATTTCCATTTTTTGTAGTAACTTTTGTGACGATAATAACAAGTAATGTACTCACATAATTTCCCAATGCATTAGTTGTTAGTGACAGTGCGGATAACAAACTTCTCATTGCATCAGGTGCCTCGCCGTAAAAGAACTCCATCTGACCGATATTTGTGAAGACTTCGGCTGCACCGATGAGGAAATACTGAGGTACTTGCCAAAAGATCGACATGGGGATGGTTTTGAGTTCGTAGTAGTTGTTTTTTCGAACTATGTCGAGACGGACGACTTCTAGAATGCCGGCCACGATCATGGAAATGATGGAGATGACTAGGCCGATTCCTATACGTTGAAGTTGCGTGAATCCGTGTTCGTGGCCGGTGTACTTTCTTGCGAAGGGGACAATGATGCGGTCGTAGACTGGAGCCCAGAAGATGACACTTAGAGTGTCGAAAAGGGAGAGGGATGCTGATGGAATTTCGAACTTAGGGCCAATGTGTTGATCCATTGTGTTTCCTTGTAACACAAACATTGTTCCCATTTGACTGTATACCGTTGCAAAGGCTATCAGTGATGCCCAAACGGGAAGTATTCGGATAACCGCTTTGAGCTCCTCGACTTGCGTTACTGTGCAAAGCCTCCATGGACTCGGTACATCTCTAGTCTGGTCGGATTCTGTCTCTATTGCCGCCTTATCCAAACACCTGTAATGTGTAATATATTAAGATTGTAAAGCAAAATTTAGAGTTTACACTGCACTAATAATCCTCATCACAAAAAATAAATGTAAACATGGTCTTGATATCTTACTTCAATTCATTTGTATGTTCGAGTTTGCGGCTCCCTTTGATATTAGACTCTGAATCCGTAGTCTCATAAAGAGACTTTTCATCTGGAACTTTTAGCGCATGTTTCTTAAATGCCGCAACTAGAACTTGACATATCCTTGTTATGGGACTTCCACCAGGTATTTGAAGTCTATACCATCGACTTCCGATGAAGAAAAATATTACCGCGATAACCATTGCAACTGCAGGTACTCCAAAACCCCATCCCCATCCCACATTCATCTGAATCCAAACCAACACCGACGAGGCAATGAGTGCGCCAATATTGATTGAGAAATAGAACCAATTGAAAAAAGAACTTTTCTTTTTCTTCTCAGCCACGTCGTTATCGTCAAATTGGTCAGCACCAAAAGATGAAACACATGGTTTGATACCGCCGGTCCCAAGAGCAATCAAGTAGAGTGATATAAAGCAAGCTGCAGTTTGTCCCGATGTTGGATGGCAACCATTAGCATCGCACGGCGGCTTCAATCCAGGCGCAACAGCAGAAAATGTTAAAAGCGCCATTCCCTGCAAAGTACACAAATGATCAACATAGAAATTTCAAATGCAATTTGAAACGAACGAGCTTATAAGAAAAATGAAATTCAAAATGAACTTACAATGACATAGATACACGAGAAACTGGCGATTGTCCAGTATCTCCCCAAGTATGAATCGGCTAAAAATGCTCCAAGCAACGGTGTGAGATAACATGTTCCCGACCATGTGTTGACATTTTTTGCAGCAGTTGCATTATCTTGTCCGAATTGGTCATGAAGATAGTTCACCAAGTTCGTACTCATGCCATAGTAAGCCAATCTCTCAGAACATTCATTTCCTGCCACAACAATTTTTCATTTCAACCTTTTAGTAAACATCAAATTTTACATTGCATAAACACTTCAGATTGAAGACATGTTCAGTGTTCATGGTCAGTTGGTGTCACAGACACTCATAGTTACACTCAATCATTCTATTTAAAAAAAAATTATTATAAGTGTCAACATGTCAAGAGTTTCAGATATGAGTACCGAGAATAAAGCTGCATGCTTTCCACTTTCCCGTCTTTTTCTTGTTGGCAGGTCTTTTACGAATGTCGAGCGTTCCATCTTCTGTATATAAGTCATCTCCTTCATTTTCATCATGTTTATTAACAACATCCGCCATAGTAGCAGAAACTGTCTCCTATTTGCTACCGACAAATCTAAGGCTTCTCCGAAAATTTCTGCAAATTAACAAACAGGTAATCAAAATGTTAATCTATAAATGTTCGATTCAATTCGATTCCAGAAGTTAAAAAAAAAGCAATGAATCAAAATACTTTCAAAATGTAAGTTCCAAATGCCAACATTACAAGTTACATAAATCACTAAACAACCCTAAATTTACTAGAAAGACAGTATCAAAAGGGGAACAATCCAAAGAACCCTAATTTTTTTTCACAGTGCCACCATAATGGAAGTTTCAACAAAAATTTCTAGATATAATATCAACATTAAGAACACAAATGTAACAAAGATTTAAAGAAAAACACTAATATTTCAGAATAATATCAAGGTGATAATATCACAAAAATTTGTGAACCTTACTGAGAAATAATATATTATATTGCTAAGATTATACAAACTCATCTGCATGCAAATTTGAACATAAAAACACAGAATTCATTATTATTATGCATTCAAAAACAAGAAAAAAGCACATGGAAATACAAGAAAGTTGAGGCTTACCAAAGAATTAGAGAATAATAAAGGGTTTTGAAAATATGTGGAATTGAGAACATGGACAAAAGTAAGAGAAAGTGCATAGAAAAGATGAAGTTTTCTGGTTTTGTTATTTTATAAATTGAAAGATATTTATTTTATTTATTTATAATAAGAAATTGAAAGATATTTTTACATATACATAGTTTTCATGATAATTACAAAATAAAAAGTATCCGTAGTTTACAAAAGTTTTACACTGTTGTTGAATAAAAAATTATTAATATAAATGTTTTAAAATATCAGTGACAAAAATGCAAGGTGTTGGTTAAATAATAATATAAAATTATTTTATACCGTTATTTTATCTTTTATTTTTTTATAAAATAAAATATAATATTACTAATATAATTAAAAAGATATGACTAATTTTAAAAATAACATTTGCTACAAGATCCATTCTAGTAAATACTTGGCACTATACTCAACCATCTCATTAATTTTCCTTTATGACATTTATTAGATTATTAGATAAAATATATTTGTGGCTTGAAATTTCCATAAAAAATTAAAAAGATCAATTTAAGAATTAATGAGAATATTATGAATTCAAGGGTATATATGTAATTTTGAATTGTTTATGTCGATAGAAAAAATTAAAATTATGGAAAACATTGTATATGGACAAAACTCTTCTGGCACAATTGAATAGAGACCTATAATAGGACAAAATGGAAAAATTAAGTCGAAAATTTATAGATTACTTTTGCTGGAAATTAAATAATTTTACTTAAAAAAGAAAAAAAGAAAAAAGAAAAAAGAAAATAATAAGTAGCAATCAAAAGCTAGTTTTTGGATATTGAAAAAGATAACTTTATTGATTCATGAAATCGGCAATTTATTTTTTATATATTTAAAGATATCATTCGTGAAAAATGAAAACGGATTCCATAAAAAATATCTTATGTATGATGCTTGAGTTTTGAGATAGTGGCCAATTCTTCTTCTTCTTCTATATGACACTAATTATGAGGCCAAACTTTTTCAAATTTGATTTTATGTATGATATGACATATGAAAAGCATATCAAATAATAAATTATCATTAATTCTTAAAAAGGTGAGTTATTTTCTTTAAGAGATTAATTATTATACATTATTATTATTATTATATAAATTTTTACACGGTCAATTAATCACTATCATCTATTTCAGACCTCTTCTAACATCTAACGTTTGCAATTAATTGACAGTGTAAAATTCTTCTACACTGTCAATGTATTTCAATTTTTTTCAATGAATCAAAATATATTAGAAAAAAATTAATAAAGAAAAAAAATGAGGAATTAATTCAAAACTCAACGGTTTAAATTTTAAAAAAATAAAGTTAATCTATTTTTTTACATAATCATTTCTTATATCAATCAATTGATAAAGAATATAAAAAAAAAGTGAATGCAGTAGATTTGTGACTTATATTAGTAAAATAATTCGCACAACTATTTTCTTCTTTGTATATGTGTAAAATGATGTAAGATATGTCAAAGATGATCTTCATGCAAGTTGTCCATCTGCTTACGATTTGGTAGATCTTCCATTTGTCAGTATTGAAATGGTTGATGTTCGCAAGTATTTGTTAATCCAATTTATCCACTTTATACTAAACCTTGTCCTCTCCATCATGTAATCAAGAAATATCCAATCCACTGAGATGTAAGCCTTTCCAAAATCTACTTTGAACAATAAAGCTTCTCGTTTCCTCCTCTTAGCATCATCTACCAACTCATTTTCTATAAGAATACCATATCCTATTTGACGCCCCTCTTAAAACTCAAACTGTGATTCAAATATTACCTTGTGTATCACTACACTTTCTTTAATATGTTTGCAAGAAGTTTATCTAGCACTTCGTACATGCACCCGATTAAGGATATAGGCCAAAATTATTTCAACTCCACTATGTTCTCCCCTTTAAGAATTAAGGTGATAAAGGAACCGTTGGCTCCCTTAACCAATCTACCATTTGATTGAAATTCTGCAATGAATATAATGAAATATCCCTTGAGCACTTCCCAAAGTTCTTTAATGAATCCAAAGTTTATCCCATTCGAACCAAGACTCTTCGAAATGTCACAATCCTCATCACCAATATTTTCGAATTCAAAATCCCTTAGGATTGGTCTATTATCCTTACAATCTTTGAACGCCTCAGAGAAGTATTCCAAAATCTTCTTGTTGTGAATCTTGTGACAAAATTCAATATCAATTTGTGAGGCAAAGAACAATAGCAATCAAAATAAATGGTCTTCAACAATAATAATCTGTACCAAATAACATAACAGAATAAGGAAAGAAAAATTGAAGGTTTGTTTACCCAGTTCGATCAAAAGATCTACTCTGGGGGAGAGAGCAACTCTCCAATTCACTATACTCAGAAAGTTGTTACAAGAGATTACAGATGAGTTACAAGAAAATAGCCTTCGCCTTCAGGTTCCCAAGAACAACCGTGAAGGCGCCCAAGAACAACCTTATTTTCTACCCAAGTGGTTTCCTACCTATCCAACTCTCAATATATGAATCACTCAAACCCAAGTGTAATCCAAGGTTTTCTTTGTGTATAGTGGAAACCCTATGATATACCTTTAAACCCTTGATCTCCCTTGTTGGTGAAAACTTTAAGATTGTCACACACCAAACCTACAAGAGATACATATTTATAATAGCAAATACCCAACAAACAAAGTCCAAAATCACATGGATCCATGGACCAAATCGAAAAAAGTTGAAAAATTAAAAACATTATTCACCGCACGGACAATACTATTCACCGTACGTACGTCACTATTCACCGCCTAAATAATTTTTCTCGACTTTTCATCCGATTTTTGCGGTAAATGCAATCTCCAAAATATGTTTTGTTTCTCTTCATCAACAAAGGTTTTAAGACACATTTACAACAATCTCAAACTTGACTTTAAACCGTGTTGATACCAATCAATAACATTGCTGCTCTCTAGCAAGTTGAAACTTTAATCAATAACTTTGATCAAATTCAAACAACCCTTGAATCTTGATCTCACAACTTGCATCCACTTGTTCCCAATTACCCTTTTCTGCCTAGGTAATTTAACAAGCCTACAAGTATGATTTGTCAATCACCCTTGACTCCACCTGTTTTCAAATGCCTCCCTGAAGGTTTTTCTTCTTTTATTTTGCAGTCCTTCAGCCGCATTAAAAATATAATAACCAAGGCTAACATAACCGTCCCTTTGAGATGCTACAATAAACCTCCTTACCTTATCACGAGTCAAATGATAATCAGAGATCTCTGTAACCGTTCCCTCACTACTGCTAGCATCCATAATATGGAACTCCACCTCAAACTGAGTTTTCTCCGTTATAGTTTCTCCCTGGTTTCTCCCTTAGTTTTCATTATGCTTCTTCTGAAGAAATTCTCTACCAACCAAGTAAGTTGTTTTTACCTCAGCTCTTCCCCAAAAACTCAATAATAACTCAGCGGTAACATGCATTTTTATTCCTTGATTTCTGCAAAATTTATTGTACTCCTTTGAAACTTTCTCAAGGCATTCATATCTCCTTAAACTCAAATCCCATAGCTCTTCCTTGTCATGAAAGCCTCCACTAGTTAACAATGAATGAATAATAACATTTGAACCTTCTAAAATATATAGACCACATATTTTAGACCCTTTAACAATAATCAATTCATCATGCGAAATCTTCAACACTCCACGTTCAACTCTAGTACAATAGCCTAGATCATCAAACATACTTATAGATAATAAATTTCGCTTGAGTTATGGAACATGCCTCACATTGTGAATAAGAAGTTCACGATCATTAAACATTTTAAATCTGACCGTATCAATACCATGAACCTTGCATGCCTTATTATTATGAAGGTGAACTACTCCACCTTGCATCATCTTCAAAGTTTCAAAGTATTCTATTCTTGGAGACATGTGATAAGAGCAACTTGAGTCAATGACCCAACTATCTTCAGTTTCCAAACTCGATACTACTAGTGCTTCGACATCCTCATAACTTTCCTCACCCAATGCAACTACAACTTGAACAAAATCTTCATTGAACTTTCTTTCAGGACAATCCCTTTTAAAGTGACCGATTTTCTAACAATTAAAACATTTTACCTTTGACTTGTTAGACCTCTTTGATTTAGACATCCCTTTGCGCTCACCTCCTCCTCTAGACACATTTAAGCCTTCACCACTATCTTCAATCTTCAAATCTTTCGACTTTGAAAATTATTTGGATTTCACCGCCGTTTGGACTTTATCCAAAGTAATAGTACCTTCCTTACCATAAAGAAGGGCATCCTTTAAAATGCTAAAAGGATTTGGGTAATAAACTCAACAGGAGCAAAACCTTGTCCTCATCATCAATCTTCACTTCAATATTATCAAGATCATCGATAATCTTGTGA